AAACCTGTCATTTGCTCACTCAAGCGCTTCAAAACATTTAGGAATTCTTTCTTTTGTTAAGCACAAAAGCAAAATATACTGGAGAATGCTGGAAAAGGCAGCTGTTGACATCCATAATAGAAACAAAAAAATACCATAGAAGTCAATGGCTGTTTTTAATTCCAGGATTCTTCAGTACACTACCTGACAAAAGTCTTGTCGCCAATCTCAGTTGTAAGAGCAACAAATAATAACATGACTTCTAGTTGCAACCCAATCAGCACCAATACTGCAGAAGACCCACTGGAACCCTCATGGACCAAGATTCTCAGAGAAATCAGTCAAGTTTGGTGAAGAAGAAATCATGGTTTGGGGTTCATTCAGTATGGGGGTGTGCAAGAGATCTGCAGAGTGGATGATCAACATCAACAGCCTGAGGTATCAAGACATCTGCGCTGTCCATTACATTACAAATCACAGGAGAGGGACAATTCTCCAGCAGGATAGCGCTCCTCATACTTCAGCCTCCACATCAAAGCTCCTGAAAGCAAAGAAGGTCAAGCTGCTCTGGGATTGGCCAGCCCAGTCACCAGATATGAACATTATTGAGCATGTCTGGAGTATAAGCGTCATCTAGAGGCCTTTGCCTTTCATATAAGCCACTTCTGATACTGAAGGTATTATTTGCCGTTCCTAAAACTAAGACTTTTGTCAGGTAGTGTATATCTTGCTTGTGTTGTGAAGAAACAGGTTTGAAACAAGTAAATGATGACGTAATTTCAATTAGTGGCTGAACTATTGCGTTAAGGTAAACAGGATTCTTTATCTACAAACAAATACATGTATTATCATCGTTTTACAATCAGATTAAAACCTTTACAGCAACATTATTACATCACATTAGCAATTAAACATTAATAATAACACAACTGATGCCAAACTCACATCGTAAAGCTGGCACAGAAGCTATAAACTGTCTAAAAATTGTGTATCACGACTTCACAAAGCGATCATAACAACAGTATACTTTGAAACAACACGCTAGAGTAGGTTGGAGCAGTCAAACTTAAGTCAGGCTTTAACATATTACTCAGTATTTATCCTGAAATAAGCTGATTAAATATATCCACATGTGTTCGGTATGACAATAAGACATATGTCTGAATAAATAGCAGCGGCTGTGTAATTATTATTACAGTGAAATTGAAGATATTTACATGAATCCAGCGCTGAAGTCGCACTACATCGCAGCTGTAGTGAGTGAACACGCGTGCACGACACTCGCTTCCGGTTTTGACGCCATCGCCGCGCGACCGTCTGTTGCCAGAAAAGAGGAACAAAATCGCTGAAAACAGGTGAATCACGGATCGTTTCAATGTCTGAGTGAGATAAACATATTATCATGTGGTAAATTACTTGGTTACACCTTTTTGTCCTGTAGTACTCCCCATTTGATCTTCATGAATCGTTTTTTCCATAATTTTAACAGTGGCGCCGTGGCTTAGTTGGTTAAAGCGCCTGTCTAGTAAACAGGAGATCCTGGGTTCGAATCCCAGCGGTGCCTTTTAGTATCAAACCTCATTTATAGTGCAAGAAAATAATTATTAGACATGATTAAATGCAGAATATTTGAGTCTTGTTTGTTAGATCTAGTGAAGCTGGAGTTGAATAGTTCAGCTCATTCCCCGAAGCATACTAAAGCTGGCAAAATGCCTCATTATCATCTATTGCAGTGGTTCTAAAACTTTTTTCAAGTGCCACCTAAGAAAACAATTGTCTCTCCAAGTACGACCATGATGAGCAATATTAAAATAAAGTAGTGTACTAAGCCCAGTAAAGCAGCTACACAGTTAAAAAATGTGGCAGATTAATTTCTATTATTAAGAATATTTATTATGTCAGCCATTTTACACACTTTAAATAGTCTGAGTGTTAACAATGTACTGTGCTTATATGTGAAAAAAATCAACTAAAAACCTCAACATTTAAATTAAAATGTGCCTTTAATAGTTAAAATGGTGGGTTATTGTTCTTTAAAAGCAAAAAGAAAAGTGCTGTACTTAAATGTAAAGTATTAACATATAGTAGCCAATTCATCAACACCTGGAAATGTTGCCTGGACATCAGAAATATAGGCTATATGTCATATAATACATATTATTATATGTCAAATTCATTTATAATTCAAAACAACTACAGAAATCAGTCAAAGTCACACAAAAAAGTTTTTCGAGTGCCTTGGACTGAGTTCTGTTGTTGTTTTGATGAATCCCCAACCTAAAGAGCACCAACCAAATATCTGAGTTACCCCTGAGCGCTTTTTGTTTGTTTTTTGTATTCATATATAAATCACTTTTGATACATTTTAAAATATATGCAGCATGTACATATGAGATATTTCATATCTCCACCTATCACTAATAGGAAGCCCTCGTTCCAGTAGTGGTACACATACCACAGTTTGAGAACCACTGGTCTGTTAGTTACCATCAGATGTGTGAAGTGCGTTTTTATGTGGATTTATTTCTTAGAATTTGTATTTGTTTACTCATTTATTTATTGTTTACTAATTGTTTTGTTTATTTATTTATTTTATGGTGGACTGGATCTGTTTGCTGTGAGATAATATTTAATTTTATTTAATTAATTTAATATTTAAATTCAATGTTTTTAGCATCTATAAAGTTAATTGAACTGTATGGGAATCTTGTAAAAATGATTTTTTATTAAAAGAATCGAATAAATCAATACAAAATCATAAATCTATCAATATAATACTGTTAAACGGTGTACTGCTAAGAGTAATACAAATGCCACTAATACAAATACTAAAACTATAATTAATAATAATTAGGATTTACATTTTTTTTGTGTAAAATACATTTCAATTTCTGTTCTTCGAAACATTAAATTATAAATTAAAAAAATTGTTAACTAGCAGCTGCCAATAGCTCATAATTAACGGGAATTTTAATTAATTTATGCTTTCAAATTGCATTATGGGACCTTGATCTCTGCTCAGACAACTTTGATATTGAAAAATGACTTTTATTCACATTTTAAGTAGCTTGAAACTTATGTATTGTCTGGGCCGGTTGAGTAAATTATGGTGCAAAACCATGCAAAGAAATAAAAATAAAGGTTTAAACAAATGTTCTTAAAAATAAACATTTATTTATTAGAGAAAAAATATTTTATTACCATTTCTGATATCAGTCTTTTCCCCCTTCCACTACATTGGGCTCTCACATACTATCCGCACTCTGACTACCTCAAAATTGTTGATAGGCCATGGTGGCCATTTCTCTCTGTCTCTTGCTGAACGCCAATCACAACAGACTGAGTCACTGAGCCAATCAGCGCAGATTAGCATTGCGCTTAAGAGGGGTATGGGAACAAATACATCGCTGAACGAATCATATAGGGATCGCTGGGATAATTGGGTAAAATAAATGCATATTATAAGACAATGAATGTGTTTTTTGACCTTGCATGCAGATCAGCCTGTTGGAGACCCACAAAACCAAAATATGACTCTTTTATAATGCATAATAGGGGCTCTTTAAAGAAATGAAAATGTTAAAGGTGCTTCTTCGTGAAGTCATTGGTGTGAATAAATATATATATATATATATATATATATATATATATATAATATAATACTATAATATAATATAATACTATAATATAATACTATTATTGTTAATAACTTACAAGTATTTCCCAAGTGCTTTTTAACAAAGAGAAGACCAAGGTCAACGCATTTTTAAACATAATAACTCATTTCTTTTTGTCTTTGCCATGATGGCAGAAATATAAAGTCTTCATTCTTTTGTTGACAACAGATTTAGAAGTGATAACAAAATTGGGAAAATGTTAGGTGCTTGTATTTTTCTCTGCTCACCTCCACTGATTGCATAATAACACACAATGTGGAGTTAGAGAACTATACTGCATCCTCAGGCATTGTTTACAGTCACCAGCCATAAAAAAATAACACTGTTTACTCACCAATACTGTTTTTTATACTTCAGCACTTGGTGTGTGTTCATTTTAAACCCTACACTGCAAAAGTGCTCTTCTTACTTAGATTTGATGTCTTGTTTTTAGCCTAAATATGGGAAACCCCTTAAATCAAGAAGCATTTTCTAGACAAGCCAAACGTATTGTCGTGTTTTAAGAAATAATATGCCAAAATTAGGCTTTTTCTTTATACAAGCTAAATAATCTGCCAATGGGGTGAGCAAAATAATCTTATGTCAAACGGAAAAACAAGATTATTTTACTTACTCCATTGGCAGATTATTTTGCTCGTTTTAAGGTAAAACTCACTTAATTTCAGCATATTATTTATTAAAACAAGACGATGTGTTCGGCTTGTCTAGAAAATGCTTCTTGATTTGAGAATTTTTAGACATTTGGACTAAAAACAAGACAAAAAAAAAATCTAAGTAAGAAATCTTTTATTTATTTTTTTTTTTTTTTGCAGTGTACAGATCCTAATCCTCTATAAACCTCACCAAGTTTTCACTAAAGGGAAAAAAATAGAAAAAAGCAAGTACATTACAGATGAAGTCACAATTATTCATCCTTCTGTGAATTTCCTTTTCCAATATTTCCCAAATGATGTCGAACAGATTCAGGGATTTTTCACAGTATTACCTATAATATTTGTTCTTCTGGAGAAAGTCTTATTTGCTTTATTTCAGCCAGAATAAAAGCAGTTTAATTAAAAAGAATACATGTTAAGGTCAATATTATTAGCCTCCTTGAGCAATATTAGTTTTGGATTGTCTCCAAAACAAACCACTCTTATACAATGACTTGCCTAATTACCCTAACTTTACCCTAATTACCCTAGTGAAGCTTTAAAATGTGACTTTAAGCTGAACACTAGTGTCTTTATAAATATGTAGTCAGATATCATGTGCTGTCATCAGGGCAAAGATAAAATAAATCAGTTATTAGAAATTAAAATGTAACAGGAGGGCTGATAAATCTGACTTTCAATCTCTCGTCAGTCATTTTAAGCAATTCTTTCACAAACCACATTCTGGAAATGTACCTGAAGGGAACACCGTCATTTCAGACTAACAGCCCAAACTGAGAAGAGTGAACGTTGTTAGAAAGTCTTTAAATGTATTTACAGCAGTGTCTGTATAATCGGTTATGTGATTATAAGGCATCACAGATGAAGTATTGTACAAAAGAGAGGAGAGATTCTGTACATGTATCAACAGAGCGAAACCCAATAACAAATTACAGGGCTTCAAAATAACACTCCTAAATCAAACAGTGAGCAACGTGATCCATAAAAGCAGGAAGCAGACATTCACATATACACTCCCCATTGAAATAAATGAGGCGGTTATTGTTTCATTTCCCTCTTTTACTACTGCTGCTACTACTACTATTACAAGGCATCGTTTATTTTAAGTGAAGAGCTGCCAAATTAACGTAAATCAAAACTCAAAGGTGTCCCGAAGATTTGCTTGTGAAGGAGGATTTGTCAGTCCATTCTGCCAACTCAATGGGGTCGATTTGTGGGAAAACCACAAAAAACACTCGCTGTCCCAGATATGTGGCCCACTCTGGAAAACAAACACCACAAAATTAACATGCGCTCATTTTCTGAAACGTCACAAAACACGGCCAGTCAGCAGTGAGGGATGTGTTTAGTAATAAAAATTGTTCGAGAAATTGATTCTGCATCGATCCTGAGATTTTCTAAATGCATCACTATTCTCTCACGTCAATTCTGAGCTTAGTTTTAACAGCAGACGGTGCTCTAGGCAAAAGCTTCACTGCAGACGGTGCTCTAGGCTAGTTTATTAACAGCAGACGGTGCTCTAGGCTAGTTCATTAACAGCAGACATGCTCTAGGCTATTTTATTAACAGCTGGCGGTGCTCTAGGCTAGTTTATTAACAGCAGACGGTGCTCTAGGCTAGTTTATTAACAGCAGACGGTGCTCTAGGCTAGTTCATTAACAGCAGACATGCTCTAGGCTATTTTATTAACAGCTGGCGGTGCTCTAGGCTAGTTTATTAACAGCAGACGGTGCTCTAGGCTAGTTTATTAACAGCAGACGGTGCTCTAGGCTAGTTTATTAACAGCAGACGGTGCTCTAGGCTAGTTTATTAACAGCAGACGGTGCTCTAGGCTAGTTTATTAACAGCAGACGTGCTCTAGGCTAGTTTATTAACAGCAGACATGCTCTAGGCTAGTTTATTAACAGCAGACATGCTCTAGGCTATTTTATTAACAGCTGGCGGTGCTCTAGGCTAGTTTATTAACAGCAGATGGCGCTCTAGGCTAGTTTATTAACAGCAGATGTTCCTCTAGGCTAGTTTATAAACAGCATATGGTCCTCTAGGCTAGTTTATAAACAGCAGATGGTCCTCTAGGCTAGTTTATAAACAGCAGATGGTCCTCTAGGCTAGTTTATAAACAGCAGATGGTCCTCTAGGCTAGTTTAAACAGCAGATGGTCCTCTAGGCTAGTTTAAACAGCAGATGGTCCTCTAGGCTAGTTTATAAACAGCAGATGGTCCTCTAGGCTAGTTTATTAACAGCAGATGTTGCTCTAGGCTAGTTTAGTAACAGCATATGGCACTCTAGGCTAGTTTATAAACAGCAGATGGTCTTCTAGGCTAGTTTATTAAAAGCAGATGGTCCTCTAGGCTAGTTTATAAACAGCAGATGGTGCTCTAGGCTAGTTTATAAACAGCAGATGGTGCTCTAGGCTAGTTTATAAACAGCAAATGGTGCTCTAGGCTAGTTTATTAACAGCAGATGGTCCTCTAGGCTAGTTTATTAACAGCAGATGGTGCTCTAGGCTAGTTTATTAACAGCAGATGGTGCTCTAGGCTAGTTTATTAACAGCAGATGGTGCTCTAGGCTAGTTTATTAACAGCAGATGGTCTTCTAGGCTAGTTTATTAAAAGCAGATGGTCCTCTAGGCTAGTTTATAAACAGCAGATGGTGCTCTAGGCTAGTTTATAAACAGCAGATGGTGCTCTAGGCTAGTTTATTAACAGCAGATTGTCCTCTAGGCTAGTTTATAAACAGCAGATGATGCTCTAGGCTAGTTTATAAACAGCAGATGATGCTCTAGGCTAGTTTATTAACAGCAGATGGTCCTCTAGGCTAGTTTATTAACAGCAGATGGTCCTCTAGGCTAGTTTATAAACAGCAGATGATGCTCTAGGCTAGTTTATTAACAGCAGATGGTCCTCTAGGCTAGTTTATTAACAGCAGATGGTCCTCTAGGCTAGTTTATAAACAGCAGATGATGCTCTAGGCTAGATTAATAACAGCTGGCGGTGCTCTAGGCTAGGTTATTAACATCAGACAGCGCTCTATGCTAGTTTATTAACAGCAGACAACGCTCTAGGCTAGGTTATTAACATCAGACGTCGCTCTAGGCTAGGTTATTAACAGCAGACGGTGCTCCAGGCTAGTTTATTAACAGCAGACGACGCTCTAGGCTAGTTTAATAACAGCAGACAGCACTCTAGGCTAGTTTATTAACAGCAGACTGCACTCTAGGCTAGTTTATCAACAGCAGACAGTGCGCTAGGCTAGTTTATTAACATCAGACTACGCTCTAGGCTAGTTATTAACAGCAGACAGCGCTCTAGGCTAGTTTATTAACAGCAGACAGTGATCTAGGCTAGTTTTTAACAGCAGACGGCGCTCTATGCTAGTTTATTAACAGCAGACGATAATCTAGGCTAGTTTTTAACAGCAGACGGCATTCACATCGAGTCCCCTTACCTGTGAAGTCATATATGCATCTGGGCTTGTCTTTCCAGTAAACCCCCAGGAAATAAACCGGTACTCCAGTGAGCATAATGACCAAACCCACTCCACACACCAGCGGCTCCGAGTGCAAACTGAAGGCCAGCAGGAGAGCCCAGAAGAGCAGGTAACACACAGGCACGAGCAGACTCACCTGAGCGCACAGAGAAGCACACACATGCTCAAATACCAAAACATGATCTGACAGCAGATGTTGATTGCAGATCTCATGATTTTTAGGGTGATTGTTCTGTAAACAATCCAAAACAAATATTGCTTAAGGGGGTAATAATACTGAGCTTAAAATGTTTTTTTTTAAACTGCTTTTATTCCAGCCAAAATAAAACAAATATTATAGTAAACACTGTGAACAATTCCTTGCCCTGTTAATCATCCTTTGGGAAATATTAAAAAAAATAATTCACAGGAGGGCGAATAATTGTGACTTCAACTGTATGCAATATGTCAAAATGCACATGAGAATAGTGTATGAATACATCTTAAGAACATACAAATAAGAACTGTATATTCACACCTTAATCGGCCTGTATAAGTTTGGCTTCTTCCATCTGTAGTACAGCAGGCCGGCAATAGTGACTCCATAGGAGAGGTAGTTGATGAAAGAGACGTAGTTTATAAGGTTGTGGGTTTCTCCAATGCACAGGATTACAATTGTGGCCGTGCACTGGAAGATGGCAGGAAAAAAAGATTGAATTAATGGAAACAAACTTGAACATAAACATATATGAGTACAGTTGAAGTCAGAATAGTTAGCCCTCCTAAATTATGTATATTTTGCTTCCCGATTTCTGTTTAACGGATTGAAGATTTGTTCAACAGATTTCTTAACATAATAGTTTCATAACTCATTTATAATAACTGATTTCTTTTATCTTTGATAAGACACTAGTATTCAGCTTAAAGAGACATTTAAAGGCCTAACTAGGTATATTAGGGTAAGTTATGGCAATTAGGCAAGTCATTGTATAACAGTGGTTTGTTCTGGAGACAATCCAAAACAAATATTGCTTAAAGGGGCTAATAATATTGACCTTAAAATGAGTAAAAAAATAATAATAAAACAAATAAAAACAAATAAGACTTTTTCCGGAAGAAAAAATACTATAGGAAATACTGTGAAAAAAATTCCTGAATCTGTTCAACTTAATTTGGGAAATTTTTAAAAACAAATAGCAAAAAAAAAAAGCAGAGTAGGGCACGTAACTGTGACTTCAAATGTATATAAATGAGATTTCCATACGCAGACGAGCAGAGCTGGGATCGGTGTGCAGTGCTTAAAGTGGATCATAGCCAGAAGGCTGGGTAAATGTCCTTCACGAGCCCCAGAGAAACACAACCTGTACAGTGAAATAAACAAATCAGTGTCATAGCCTGCAGTGCTTTGCATAAAAATATTCATATATAGAGCAAAAGCCAGTAACTTAAATAGCAATACTGCTTTATGGTGTAACTAATAGCTATATGAAGACCTTATAGAAGTGAAGCAATATTGATTATGAACTATAATAATAAGAATATAGTAATAATAATAATAATAATAATAGAGTAAATAATAGGAAACATTTTGATTAGGAATAATGAACGATTATTTTGTTTATTTATTTAATTTTTTTGCCCTCATAGTTAACTGAGAAGTTATGTCCAGTAAATGTGCTCACATAAGACCAGTCAGAGATTATTGAATGAAGGGTGCATCACTTGATTTTAAAATAACTGAAGGAAACACACACTATCAGCTATCGGTGATTATTTATTGAACATCAATGTTGAACAACTGAAATTAAAGCACACATTGCTTAAAACAAAGTTATTTTTTTCTTAGAAAAAAGTGAAAATAAATAATTCACATTTTTGGATTTTATAAGTTTCCCAAGTCCTCCTGATGCAAGGTAAAGGTATATTGAAATGCACTGACCTGGAGGAGGTGAACAGGTAACCATTGATGCCCCCGAAAGTTGACAGAGCCACAGAAATGGGCATGAGTGTGGAAAACATCCCGAGAAGCTTCTCACCGAACGTCTACAGCAAACGAAACAAAGCTGCTAAGAAAGCTTTGTAAGAGTAACACTGTTAATAATCTGGTAGTAAAAAAAAATAGCACTTACGACAGCCACTGCGTTTGAGGACAGCAGCTCCTCAGGAGACATGGAGGAGAAGTAGGCGATGTTTGTGAGGGTGTACACACATGTCACCAGTGGAATGGAGATGTAGATGGCCCGGGGCAGATTTCTAAGAGAGAGTGAGAGAGAGTGTGAGAGAAATAAAAAATGTAATATACACATTTGCATATGCAGCCACATAGCATCACAAAACCAGTTATACATTTATGAAATTAAGATTTAAACATAAGATAAATATAAATATTTACCATTTTTTGGGGTAAGTCTCTCATATAATATTTATTACATCACAAACTGTATTGTAAATAAATCCTATAAACATTTGCATATTAGTCGATGATATTAATGACATTATTATAAAAACTAAATTCATTTTCACACATTAACATAAGCAAATAAATGAACTCAATGATGGGTTAAACAACCTGTGGATTGCTCTGCGCCTACATGTTACCAGTCAAAAAACCTTATATTTACAGTAAGGACTTTTAAACATAAAAGAAACTTAATTATCAATTATATCATACCTGTGCAACATAAGAAGCTTTGTAGGCCAGGGTCTAGTCTTTAATAACTGTATAATTACTATGGATTGGCAACAATCAAAGAAAACGTTTGATTTTGTCACTCAAGCAATGAGTCAAATCAACCAAGCAATCAACCAACCAAAATCAACCAACCAACCAACCAACCAAATCATCCAACCAACCAACCAACCAACCAAATCAAGTCAAATCAACCAACTAACCAGCTCAAATCAACCAACCAAATCAATTCAAACCAACCAAATCAAACTAATCAGGCAACCAAACAACCAGATAAACCAAATCAAACCAACCAACCAACCAACCAAATCATCCAACCAATCAACCAACCAACCGACCAAATCAATTCAAACCAACTAAATCAAACTAATCAGGCAACCAAACAACCAGATAAACCAAATCAAACCAACTAAGCAACCAACCAAATCAAACCAAGAAAATCAAACCAAGCAACCAACCAATTCAACCAAATCAAACCAACCAACTCAAATTAATCAACCAACCAACCAAACCAAATCAAATCAAATCAAATCAAATCAAATCAAATCAATCAACCAAATCATCCAACCAACCAAATCAATTCAAACCAACCAACCAACCAGCTCAAATCAACCAACCAAATCAAGTCAAACCAATAAAATCAAACTAATCAGGTAACCAAGCAACCAGATAAACCAAATCAAACCAACTAAGCAACCAACCAAATCAAACCAAGAAAATCAAACCAAGCAACCAACCAATTCAACCAAATCAAACCAACCAACTCAACCAAATCAACCAACCACCTCAAATCAATCAACCAACCAACCAACCAAATCAAATCAAATCAAATCAAATCAATCAACCAAATCATCCAACCAACCAAATCAATTCAAACCAACCAACCAACCAGCTCAAATCAACCAACCAAATCAAGTCAAACCAATAAAATCAAACTAATCAGGCAACCAAGCAACCAGATAAACCAAATCAAACCAACTAAGCAACCAACCAAATCAAACCAAGAAATTTAAACCAAGCAACCAATCAACCAGGCAATTTTGTGTATCTAGGTATGCTTTAGGAGGGATTTCAGACTGACCTTCTGGGATCGACCACTTCCTCTGTAACGTAGTTGAGAAAGTTCCATCCACTGAAGGCGAAGGAGGCGTGAAGAAAAGCCAGGGCGATCTGGCCTATAGACGGAGCTTTATTAAAGGTGAACGCCGTCTGCGGGGTCAGACTCTCATAGTTACCTAAGCAGACCAACATATCTGTTAACTGGACAACTACAAACACACACATACCGTCAAGACAGATGACATCTGACACAATCTGAACACTGACTAATTGTATTTGGTGACTACCAAAAGCTTTTCTTAAACTGATTAAGCCAATATATCACCACGCACGCACACACACACACACACACACGTCTCTCTCACCTCCACAGATCTGCACTAATCCCACAGTAATGATGAGTCCCAGAGCCAGGAGCTTCCCGACGGTAAACGCGTCCTGGATCCGCGTGGCCAAACGCACACTGTAGCAGTTCACCCACGTCAAAAACACTGCAAACACACACAAACTGATTCACTCAAGGCAAAACACTACAGGAGAGAGGCTAAAACAAAACAAACAGAAATGCATAGTTGTCATTATACAACCACAGCAGAATGATTACATTTATTCATTTCATTTTCGCTTAGTCCCTTTATTAATCTGGGGTCGCCACAGGGGAATGAATCGCCAACTTATCCAGCATATGTTTTACGCAGTGGATGCACCCATACACACTCACACACATACTCTACGGACAATTTAGCTTTCCCAATTCCTTTATAGCGCATGTCTTTGGACTTGTAGGGGATACCGGAGCACCCGGAGGAAACCCACACCAACACTGGGACAACATGCAATCTCCATAAGGAAATGCCAACGGAGGCTCGAAACAGCGACCTTCTTGCTGTGAGATGATTGTGCTACCCACTGCGCGGCCATGTCACCCATGATTAGATTAGGAACCATAATTTTTAACGTTTTCTAAAATGTTATGTTTAAGTATGGAAATAAGGCATTATTTAATCAAATAACATGCAGTAATTTGCATACACACCTTCAACAGAAATGTGCAGTCATATGCAATATTCTTTTTTCTATGTATCTATTTATTTTATTCATTATTTAAATATTTTACCTACAGTATTATAGTCATTTTGCATCTCTATTCATAATTCAGAAAATACAGCAACAGCCAGAAAAAAATAAAACAATCACAACTTTTTTAGAATAATTAAGCAAATTATTTATGAACATTTCCCTCTGTAAAAAAAACATTTTAGAATAAAGATATGAATAAAACCTTAAGCTATTTGTTCTATTTAAGTAATATCACACAAGAGAAGTGTTATTAAATAGTGATTAAGTGTAAAATTATTACGTTATATTAAAGTGAAGATTCGTGGCTCAATGCAGGAAACAAAGCTCATTTTGAGAAAAAAGTCTTTAAAAATATGGGTCACTATATTTTAAGCTACATTTCACACTGTTACCATTAACTATGACCTAATTGGCTGCTTATTTAGTCCAGTTAGGCATTGAGGATTTAGAATAGGAGTGGCCCAGCCAGAGCCCTGACCTAAATCCTATTGAACATCTCAGGAGAGATCTGAAAATGGCTGTACACCATCACTTCCCATACAACCTGATGAAGCTTGTTAGGTTATAAGGCTGTGACATGAAAAAATTAGGAAAAAGTGAAGCGCTATCAATACTTTCTGGATGAACCGTAAATAGCAGCTACGTGTATATAGTCTATTTAAAACATATCCCAGCCCTTTGAGTGGGCTAATGATGGAAAGAACAACATAAAACAAACACAACGTACTAACTTCAGTCAACTTGCATGCATTTGCAGAAGGTTTTCTTGTGTTGAAATGATTTGCAGCATGTTTTTCTTCCTTTTTTTTCCTGTTGTGAGGCTCTGCAAAGCATTTTGTTATTTGTTTTTGCATGGTGAGGATTTGCAGGACACGTGCAAAGACGTGCTGGTGTTTTCTTAAGTTGCAGCTCTCTCGGACAGTGTAGAAATGTGCTAAAGAACAGTCCTTCTGTGGGCTCATCCATCAGTGTCACTGCTCACACAATGTTTCATGCTCTTTCTCCTCCAGCGAGAGCCATTTAAGCCCAATTGAAACAAATAACTCTGGGTGAGAATGAAAAGCAGGAGCAAAGAACGTTTTGTGTGGAGAGATGGAGGGCCTTGTGTTTTACTGCCGCTCTCTTGCTCTGGTTTGTGTGAATGAGTCCTGAATAATGAGAGTTAATGCGGTAAATCACATGCTGGAGACCCACAGCACTTCCAGCAGCCACAGGTTCTGCATCACATCTGGGCCTGTGTTTAGGACATTCCTGTGTGGAGGCTTGCTTTAGTCACTGAATACATGTTTTTAAATCTCATTGCGACTCTTTAATTGTTCTTTTTTCACTTTTCTCTGAACTGCGAGAGGTAAAATGTATAAAAGTTATGAAGTCAGAACAGAATTGCATGATATAAACTTGCAATTGCAAGAAAAAAAGTCACAGATTTTTAGAATTTAGAAATTGCAGATTATAAAGAAGGAAATGCACAGATGTAAATTCACAACTGTGGAAAATAGTCCAAATTCAGATATATAAAGTCACAATTGTCAGTTTTAAAGTCAGAATTGTATGATATAAACTTGTGTTTCAGAAAAATAAAGTCAGTATTGCATGTTATGCACTCGCAAGTAAAGAAAAAAGTTTGAAATCTGAGATAAAGTCAGAATTGTGAGATATAAACTTGTTTTTCTGAAAAATAAAGTCAGAATTGCATAATATAAACTTGCAATTGCGAGAAATAAGTCTGTATTCTGAGAAATGTCACAACTGCAAATTGTAAAGTCAGAGCAGGAAATATAAAATTGCAATTTAGATTTTTTTGAACTCGAAATTGCAGGTTATAAAGTCAGAATTGCATGATAAAAGCGTACAATTGCAAAAAAATTCATAATTCTGAGAAAGAAATTCACAATTGAAAAAAAAAAGTTTGAAATCTGAGATAATGTCAGAATTGTGAGATATAAACTTGTATTTCTGAAAAATAAAGTCAGGATTGCATGATATAAACTTTCAATTGCGTGAAAAAGTCAGTGTTCTATGATAAAAAGTCACCATTGTGAGTTATAATTGGTAGAACTGGAGATATAAAACTGCAATTTAGTTTTTAAACTTGAAATTGCAGGTTATAAAGTCAGAATTGCATGATATAAACTTGCAATTGTAAGAAAAAAGTCTGTATTCGACATATAAATGCATTTCTGAATAATAAAGTCAGATTTGCTTGACATAACTTGATGAAAAGAGATGAGAAAAAGGTCAGTGTTCTGAGATCAAGTCACAATTGCAAATGTCAAAACTGGAGATGTAAAAATGCAAAAAAATTTTACTTGTAATTGCAGGTTTTAAAGTCAGAATTACATCATATAAACTTGCAATTGCAAGAAAATATCATAATTCTGAGGTTGAAAGTCACAACTGTGAGTTATAAAGTCAGAATTGTGTGATATGAGCATGTAATTGTGAGAAAGGGACATTTCTGAGATAAAGTGGCAAATTTTCATTATAAAGGATCAAAAACTATCATCATGACATGATCAAATTCGATTAAAATAAAAGACACAAGCATTTAAAGGACTTCCCAAACATTGCAAACAACCAAAACGATATACAATCTTTTCATTTAAATTACATTATTGATATAATTTGTTTTTCTAAATACAAATACTGGATATTTTCTACCATTTATAGGCAGGACAGCCCTATAATATAATATAATTAAATAACCTTTTGTATCCTACAGAAAAAAAGAGGTCTAAAAGACACATTTTCCTTTCTAAAACCAGTAGTAATAGGTGAGAATTTTAAGAAACCTGTTTGAAAACAGCCATTATGCATGCAGTTCCACTTGGTTGACCAGAAAAAAAACACAATTTTTTTTGATGGATAAATAGTAAGTTAGTTAGTTAGTTAGTTAGTTAGTTAGTTAGTTAGTTTAGTTATGAAGCCCAGCACTCACATATGCAGATGGCGGACAGCATGCGTGTGGCGATGTATGGAGGAACACAGTGCGGAAACACAGGCTGAAGCACGTAGCTGGAAAAGGTGAGCGCTATAACTGCCAGTGTGGTGGGATACATGATCAATACTGCACTCCATAACAGCAGAAACCTGCACAAAAAAACCTTCATTGCTTATTCATTCAGGATTGAGCAGGTGTAAAACACTTGATTACAAAAAAAAAAAAAAGATTCAATGTTTTCAGACATAATTTTATTTCATGCATTTCGTTGAATAAAAAGTGCGTTCACACAGAAAAAATCTCAATATCTGGATGATGAGCTTATGCAAGTGATAAACAGTGTCGAGTGTTGAACACTTTCTTTCATGCATTCAGTGATCAGAGATTTACTTGCTAACTTGAAAGGGGAGGGGCTGTGGTTAAAGGGGAAGAGCTACTGATGTAGAGAATGAGTTGATGAAGGAGAGGGGCTAATGATAAAAGGGAGGAGCTGATGATGAAGGGGAGGGGCTACTGAAGAATGGGCGGAGCTACTGATGAAGAGGAGGGGCTACTAATGAAGAGGAGCTGAAGCATCAAGATGAGGAGATGATGATGAAGGGGAGGAGAAACTAATGAAAAGGAGGAGTTACTGATGAATGGGAGGGGCGGCTGATGATGAAGAAGAGCAGTTACTGATGAAGAGAAGGAGCTACTGTTGAAAGGGAGGGGCTGATAATTAAGGGGCGGGGTTATTTATGAAGAGGAGTAGCTGATGATAAAGGGGAGGAGCTACTGAAGAAGACGAGGAGCTACTGTTAAAAGGGAGGAGCTGATGTTTAAGGGGAGGGGCTACTGATGAAGGGTAGGAGCTACCGATGAAGAGGGGGAGCTGTTGATGAAGAGGAGAAGCTGATGATGATGGGTGGAGCTATTGATGAAGACTAACTGGAGGTGAAAAGGAGGAACTGATGGTGAAGAGGAGGAGCTGTTAATGAAGAGGAGGAGCTGATGATGAAGAGCTGATGATGAAGGGAAATAACTACTCATGAAGGAGAAGCAGATGATGGATGGGAGGAGATGCTGATGATGAAGAGGAGGACACGCTGATGAAGAGGAGCGGATGATGAAGAGGAAGAGCTGATGAGGAAGGGGAATAGCTACTCATGAAGGAGAAGCTGATGATGAAGAGAAGGGGCTACTGATGAAGAGGACGAGCTACTCATAAATGGGAGGAGCTACTGATGAAGAGGTGTTGATAATGAAGAGGAGGAACTGATGATGAAAAGGAAGAGCTGATGATAAAGAAGAGGAGCTACTGATAGAGATAAGGAGCTGCTGATGGAGGGGAGGAGCTACTGATAGAGAGTAGGAGCTGCTGATGGAGGGGAGGAGCTACTGATAGAGAGTAGGAGCTGCTGATGGTGGGGAGGAGCTGATGATGAAGAGGAGCTGATGATAAAGAGGAGGAGCTGTTGATGAAGAGGAGGGGCCACTAATAAAGAGGAGGAGCTGTTGATGAAGAGGAGGAGCTACTGATGGAGAAGAGAAGCTGCTGATATAGAGGATAAGCTGCTGATGAAGAGGAGGGGCTACTAATAAAGAGGAGGAGCTGATGTTGAAGGGGAGGAGCTGTTAGTAAAGAGGAGGAGCTGCTGATATAGGGAAGGAGCATCTAATAAATGGGATGTGTCTCTAATAAATGGGAGTGGATTCATTTTAGCCACATAATTTTCTGTATCTGTACTTTTAAGTCTGTTTTCCACCCCTGTGTTTGGTCACACATGTCGTACCCCACGAGTCCGCCGAAGATCTCGGTGACGTAGGAATAGTCTCCTCCAGATTTGGGTATGGTCACGCCCAGCTCAGCATAGCAGAGGGAGCCGAGAGCAGCGACGCCTCCACCCAACATCCACACCACCAGAGCCAAACCCACAGAGCCCGAGTGCTCCAGAACACCTTTAGGAGAGATGAAGATCCCAGAGCCAATGATGTTCCCTGAGCAAACACACAACAGCAGCATTATTAACAGGTCTGCACTAGACTTCATTTCAACAATTTCCAATTTTTTGCTGCTACCAATATACATCAATATGATCAAAGTAATCTATTTGCATAATCCCCGCCTTCAAGCGACATACAAATACTTTGACATGGGCAATATGACTGCGTCCAAAATCACCGGCTACTCAGTAGGTACTGCATTTAAATGTACTACTTGACCACTGAAACTGTGTTCTATACAGTATGAATGTTAGTATGAATGGAACTTGGATGTAACTACATCCGTTATTCTGTCATGATCACGTGACCTCTCAATGTGTTGCGTTGGCAGGTGTGTATGTTTGTGTGTCTTAGTCTCTGGCTGTGTCCGAAACCACCTACTACTCAGTAACCACCACTAACTCTTGGTTGTACATCCATCCATGTTTCCCTTTCCTATTATGTTGTTTTTGGTTTGTTTGTTGATAATGTAAATATTGAATTCTGTTCACGGTTAGAAGCAGTAGGGGTTAGACGCCACACTTTTCTTTTATGTAAATATTTTCTCCTGTTTTTATACATAGGGAGGTGAGAGTAGATTTAGTATTTTTTATTTCTGTTATTTTGTTAGGTGTAGTTAGTTTCATTTAGGTGTTTAGTTAGAGTGTACTCTTTGTTTATTATTTTTCTATGGTTCCTCTCCGAGGTAGTTGGCATCACATTTTGGGTGATATATGTGTATATATATATATATATATATATATATATATATATATATATATATATATAGATATATATAGATATATATAGATAGATAATACCCTTTATTAGTCTTTTCTTGTTGTCTGTATATATATATATATATATATATATATATATATATATATATATATATATATAAAGACAACAAAAAAAAAGACTAATAAAGGGTATTTTAAATCATAAAAGTGAGTTTTATTTGTCTGGTGTTCTTTTATGTTGCGGCCTTGACCCAAGAACAGGGTCATAACACATGTCAGTTGCATGGATGTCATGAATTCTTTCACAGTGCATCATAGGATAGCATAGCGTCCATCAGCTGCGCACTTCAGAATCTCGCTGGAAGTAGCAGGTCATCTGGATCCTTCTCGCATACCGTTTTTTTAATTCTATGAAATCCGACATACTACCTGGTTCGCATACTGTTCTTAGGGTACTATAAAGTGTGGAAGTACACGATTTTGGACGCAGCCAATGTTTCATCCACGGATTAGCTACAGAAAGACCAATCAAAACAGACTTGGCCAGCTGACCAATCAGAGCTGACCTATAGAAGGAGACAGACCTTAAGCCCTGAATTGATTCAACTGAATCGCATTGAAATCATCACATAATGACTCGAATTAAAGACAAATTTATAAGAAATAAAAACATTTTGACCTTAGATGCATGTAGGAGACTCCAACACAATATTAGGACACTTTAAAATACCACTTGACCTGCTCTTTAACATTTATCTCAAAGTTTAAATGAAAATCTATCTATCTATCTATCTATCTATCTATCTATCTATCTATCTATCTATCTATCTATCTATCTATCTATCTATCTATCTATCTATCTATCTATCTATCTATCTATCTATCTATCTATCTATCTATCTATCTATCTATCTATCTATCGCACTTGCTAGCTCTGCTCCTTGAGCTGCCATAACACACAAAGCTAACAAATATTTTCTTTTCCCTTTATTTAGAGCAGCCCAAATCTGAAGTGGACGCTAATGCATCTTCCAGAAACACAGAGGCGCTGCTGTAGTACCTGTGAGAGTTTTTACAGCACACAATGAAGGCCTCTTTTTCTCCGAGCCGCTGCTGGCAGCTCTTCTCTCAGGCACACAAGTGTCGTACAACGAGTTACGTAACAGCGGGCATAAATAATCCACTGCTGCCCGTCAAAGACCCGCTGCCATCCCAAGCCTTGGCTTCCATTCGGCCCCTTTTAAGAGGACAAACACATCTGAAGGGGCCCACATTTGCCGGATGTTGATTTTAAACTTATTAAATGCAAGTGAAGTTAAAGAGGTCTGCCAGCTTTGTTGTTTGACACTTGTTAGTTGTTGAGACTCACTGAAAATGTTGTTTTTAGTGATTCGACTTGTAGCTGAGATTCTTTAATTATTGCAATGCAGTTAATATTTAGTTTTTCAACATTAGTAAAAACAATATTAATGTGTTTAAGTCAATATTAAACAGCATATTTTCTTACCTTTATATTTTTGTTGACCACTGTATTTATCAATAAGCTATTTATGTCCCATGGTGCATGTTAGATATGCATAGAATACATTTATTTTTTTATTTTTGTCAGAGTTAATTATGTTTTTATAAAGTTTTTTAATCAATTCCTCCATTAAACCGGTAAAATAAGCTACAGTTATATAATAAAATAATAAGAACATAATGTAGGATACTAAAACAATCACATTTATTAACATTTCCTTTTTTATGCAGTAATAAATAATTACTTAATATATTTACAAACATATTCACTACGTAGAACTGATAATATATAATAAATATTACTCAATTATCAATTAGTTAATCGTATAACATGCTTTAAAAGTCTATAATGCAGAATATTTTTATATAATCGACAATCCTCAGCAAAAACTATTTGCACTTGGAAAAGGTTAGTAAAAAACAACAAGAAAATCTTATTAAACTCAACATTTAAGCAAAAAAACTTAAATAATGTTATATACTTTCATTATTTATAACTTGGAAAATTATTTCAGGTTGTGTAACTACTAACAAAGACAGTCGTCGCACGTTTTAACGTAGTAAAACCGAAGCACAAACAAAAAGAAAACAAGTAAGCGTCTCCTACCGATGATGATCGTGCACGCGCTCAGCAGCCCGATCTCCTTCTTGAGTGTCACGCGCTCAGGGATGCCGGAGTCTCGTTTGAGCTCGCTATCTTTCATGATGCTCCTCCGAGCCTCTGTCTTTTTCCTCTCAACTCCATCCATTTCAGTTCTAGCAGGAACACAGCGCTGGCCCTCCTCTCTTCAGCTCGCTCCAGAGGATTGAAACACGGTGAAAAGGCCGCGCAGGCGCCGCGCGCTCCCCGGCCTGAATGTTAACGAGTCACTCGCGCTCTGGAACATATACGACAAATATAGAAGTCATGGTCATTTCATTCAATTACTTCACAAATGTGCATATATATACTCGATATAACCATCGTAGACTAAATAAATACATGTTATCTAGCGTGTTTACTAATGCAATTCTGCACTGCAAAACAATTCTTATACTTATTTTTTTTTTGTATTCTCTCTAAGTCCAAATGTCTAAAAACTCTTATAATCAAAGCATTTTCTAGACAAGACTGATTTTCAGAAGTGTAAATGAAGAGTAAGTGAGTTTTTACTTAAAACAAGCTAAATGATGGCCAATGAATGCATGGGTAAGCAAAATAGTCTTGTTTTTCCTTTTGAGATGAGATTATTTTGCTGACCACATTTCATTAAAAAAAGATATTTAGCTCATTTTAAGGGGAAAAACTCACTTAATTTTAGCATATATTATTTATTAAATAATATATGAAACAAGACTATGTGTTTTGATTTTTTGTAAATATCTAGATATTTAGGAAACAAGACAAAAAAAAATCTAAGAAATGCATTTTTTTTTTACATTGTGTGACATCCACTGAAACCTTGTGTTTACAATGCAAAGGTTTACTCGACCCCCTTAAAAAAAGCTCAGTGTGTAATTTAAGAAGTCAAGTCGTGAATCTGCGGTTGAGCTCCGGAATAAAGGAGCTGCTCAGGAAAGCCGTTCAGAAGAGCCGCTTTGTGCTCCAGAAGGAAAACCCTGAGTTTGTGCCAGAAGAGAGACACTTAAAGAGCCAGTGGAGCAGAAAACCAGCAGATCACGGAGATCAGAGCATATATGAATCAAATTAGAAATCATTTAAACTTCTGAAAATGGGGGTCTCAAACGTGGAGGAAACTTGCGCAAGTCAGAATTATTCGCCCCCCTTTAAATTAGTTTTTTTTTTATATTTCCCAAATGATGTTAAACAGAGCTAGGAAATTTTCACAGCATGTCTGAACATATTTTTTCTTCTAGAGAAATTCTTATTTGTTTTTTTTTTCGACTAAAGCAGTTTTTAATTTTTTAAACACCATTTTAAGGTCAGGATTATTAGCCCATTTAAGCTAATTTTTCGATAGTCTAAGAAGAAACCATCATTATACAATAACTTGCCTAATTACCCTGTCCTGCCTATATTTAAGCCTTTAAATGTCACTTTAAGCTGTATAGAAGTGTCTTGAAGAATATCTAGTCAAATATGATTTACTGTCATCATGACAGATAAAATAAATCAGTTATTAGAGATGAGTTATTAACACTATCTTAGAAATGTGTTGAAAAAACTTTGCCTTTAAACAGAAATTGGGGAAAAAAATAAACAGGGAGGCGGATAATTCTGACTTCAACTGTACGTCAATACACGCAGTTGTAAACAAATTTAACTTAAATATCTGCTTAACTACTTCAAATAATATTATGAGCCATAATAATAAATTCATAAATAAATTAAAATGTATTATGGTGTGTACATTCATTTTTAGGAAGGTTTCTACAACTTTTATAAATCAGATCCACCTTTTCTATCCTGAGTTTTGGCATTTTTAGCATCTTAAGATCAAATCTATTGAATTTGATTTAAATAAAAGTGTAATACACTAATAAATCATTGCCGCCTTAATTTTTGTCATCTCAATTTACATTATTCAGACAAAAATAAATATTAGGTTAAACTTTGTATAACTAAAAATAATGGTCATAACTTGATTTACTAACTAAAACTAGTGAAATTAACTTGAAACTATATGTTGACATGATCATTTTCACAGTGTAATACATATTAAACGCACCACTGCATACATTGTAAAATAATTATTGCTGCCTAAAATGTCTTAGTTAAAATAACCAAACTTTTCAAATAATCTCAACCTAAAAAAAGTCAAAACCTGTTTAAAACTTGTTAAATTTAACACAAAAACAATTTGTTGAGATTATTTTTTGTTATATCATTAATAAAGAAACAATTTTAAAAATATGATAAGAACATTCACACAATCTCACATAGCAAATAATAAATAAATTTTTTAGGTTTATAATTAATCAAAATTATCGTTCAGAATTATAAAAAATTAAAATAAGTTTACAACTAAAAGTTATGGTCATAACTGCATGTTTACTTAAAGCTACTTACTCTTTCTTGCCATGCATGTATTAAAAACACAATATTCTCTCAAAATAGCAAGTTATAAGGCTTACATCTCACAGCATTTATTTATTTTATCTCTGAATTCTGAGTAATACAATAAAATAAAGACATAAAAACAGGACTCGGAAAACTTATCTGACAGAAAATAAGTCGTTTCACTTTGTGCCACACATAAGTAAATTAACAAAAAGGTAATTATAACCAGTAAGTCAGTTCCTTTACATCTCACAATTGAAAGTTTATACTAGCCAGACTCTTTTATATATGCAAATAAATTAGAATATTACAGGTATAGTTCACCCCCAAAAAATTAAAATACTCACCCTTTAGCTTGTTTTAAACCTTTGTTTCTTTCTGTTGAACACAAAAGATACTTGTTGGAAACATGTCAATGGTTTTCAGCTTTATTCACAACCTTTTCTTTTGTGTTTAACAGAAGAAAGAAACTCATAAAGGTTTTTAGGGAGAGTAAATAGCCCGCACATTTTCGTTTTTGGATGAACAACCCCTTTAAGCACACTTTTTCACCAATTATATGATAATTTTTGTAACTTATAATGATAATTAAAAATAAACATAATAATAACAATAGCAATATGTTTTCACAGGGCTTCACACTGTGTACTCGTACAATAAAGTGGTGCACAAAAACAGCTCAACATTCTGAAATGAGTCGTCAGCGCCACCTTTTGTCCATCCATTAAAACTCCTGTTAAATGCAGAAAATGATGTGATGTATGGCAACACATTCTACTACAGTAAGGATAGTTCACCAAAAATTCAAAATAATATCATCATTTACTGGGTTCAAACCTTTACAAGTTTCTTTCTTCTGTTAAACACAAAAGAAGATATTTTGAAAAATGTTGGAATTCTGTAAGCATTGACTTCCTATAGTTTATGTTTTTCCTACTATAGAAGTCAATGGTATGGAAACTCGCTCCTGCCTGGTAAGAAAAAAAACATGCTCTAAACAGCTAAAATTGAGCTACCATGAGTAAATTATGAGATATATGTCACAATTCTGATTTAAAAAGTCAAAATCATGAGCTACTATGACTAAATTATGAGACATGTCAGAATTCTGATTTAAAAAGTTGAAATTATAAGCTACTATGACAAAATTGCAAGATGATATCTAAATTCTGATAAAAAAAATCTAAATTATTTCTTAAAATGTTGCTGAAAGTATGATTTACTGAATCATAATTACAAGAGAAAGTAAAAATTATGATTTAAAAGGTTAAAATTATGAGACTTAACCAAGTAAAAGTGACATCAAAAGTAAAAATTATGATTTTTAAAGAATGTAGAAATGACATTGTAATACCAATAGGTGGCGACAAACAACCATAGAAATGTGTCACTTAATTTTAGTTTTTTAAGTCATAATTTACACTTTTCATCTACTAATTTTGACCAAGTAAATCATAATTTTGACTTGCTAGGTAATAATTGACTTTTTTTAAAGAGCCCCTATTATGGGTTTTTGACAATGACCTGTCATGCAGTGTGTAACACAGCTCTGAGTGAAATATCTAGCACAGACTTAAATCTGAAAGTGCTGGTGTTTAAAACTATCAAGTCATCTATAAAAGAGCCAACTCATAGTGGTTCGATTGAATTGCCGCTGTAACGAGTCTGATGTCGATATGAAACTCAAGACAAAGACTGTAGCAGATCCCGGTTGAATCATGTCATGTTGACGCTGTGCTCTGAGTGTGAGGGGAAGTTAGTGTTATTTACTCAAAGATGAGGCTGTGAAGAGTCAGTGGTTGAAGTTTAGTTTTGCAAAAACACCTCAGCATTATAGCCCCAGCCTTGTGCTGTGTTCCTGTCATTTTTCTGACGCGTGCTTCAGCAACCTACACACGTACAACGGCGGATTCGCAGACATTTTTTAAAGAAGGGATCAGAAAAGACTATTGATGCATGGCATTTTGTCGGAGCTTGACAGGAACTTTATCAGTACACAGTTCATGGACCAGTTTCTTCCTCCACTTCACAAGTGTAAGTAAGTGTGATTAAAATGGCTGTCTCCTTTTCTCTAGCTTGCAAAAGATGCATTTAATTGTGTTTTGTTATTTGTAAACGCTTGTAGTGTGTCTGGTTAACTCTATATTCTCATATCGCGTCTAAATCCATGTTGAAAACGTGCCGCTGTCGGCGGTAATAGCCTAGTGGTTAGTGCGTCGACACATAGCACCAAGGTGCTCATGGCGATCCGAGTTCGATTCCCAGCTTGAGGTCCTTTGCCGATCCTTTCCCTATCTCTGCTCCCCACTCTTTCCTGTCTGTAAAATCTCCACTGTCCTAGCCAAATAAAGGTGAAAACCCCTAAAAGAAAATAATAATAATAAAAAAAAAGAAAACGTGCCGCTTTGTTTATGCATTTAAACGCGTTTGTGAGCTGGCGATCCTCGGCCGTTTGACGTTGCTTCGGCCACAGTCACCCGTTCCTACACACGTGGTGGTCAAGTTTCAAACTAGCTCAGCTTGTGCCATTTTGTGGATTAAAACTGAATGTGTGTCATGGTTAAGAACAGAGTAATATGCTGGTGTTTAACTGCTTTGCTTTAATGCACTCCTGCATTGGGCTCACGCACACTCTCTGCACTCTGACTACTTGTTGATAAGCCGCGGTGGGCATTTTTTCCCCATCTCGTGCTGAACACAGTCAACCAATCACAACTGGATCATCGAACCAATCAGCACAGATTAGCATCACGCTAAGGAGGGGTTTGGGCAAAAATGAATCACTAAATGAATCATATCGGAGTCGTAATTGGGTAAACATAAATGCATATTATAAGACAATTAAAAGTGTTTTTTGACCTTGCATGCAAATCAGCTTATTGTTGGAGATCCCCAAAACCAAAATATGGTCTTATTTAATGCACAATAGGGGCTCTTTTAGTCATAATTTCTACATAATTTTGACTTAAGTCATATTTTTGACTTTCCCAAGTAACAATTTTGACTTTTTTTCCCTTAGCAGGCGGTAACGGTTATAGGTTTTCAGCTCTCTTAGATATATCTTATTTAGTGTTAATAAAGAAACTCACTTGAGGGAGAGTAAATAGTGCAAATTTTAATTTTTGTGTGAACCATCCCTTTAATACTGAATCGAGGCACCGTTTAAAATAAAAAAAGTGCTTAAATAGTGTTTATTCTTCTCTTACTCCAGTAACGCGAATGTGTGTGTGCTTTCTAAGTGATCTGATTGTGGAAGAAGCCCCTGATGTGCTGCGCTGTGGCCGGACCCACCACAGGCTCCAGCTCCTGGACTGAGGCTCGGCTGAGCTGGAGGATGCTGGGAAATGTCTGCAGGAGCAGCTGGGCCTTCACCTTCCCCACTCCAGGGATCTGCTGGACAAGATTCAACACCAGCGGCTCCAGCAGGCGGGAAACCGTCCTGCGGCGAAACGGGTTCTCCTTACTCTGTCCAAACACCTAAGAAACACAGACGCGCATCACATCTTTATACGAGTTCTTATTCATTCATAGGTATAATGTGAAGGAAGGGGCGGCACGGTGAATCAGTGGTTAGTACTGTGACCTCACAGCAAGAAGGTCGCTGGTTTGAGTCCTGGCTGGATCTGTTGGGATTTCTGTGTGGAGTTTGCATGTTCTCCCTGTGTTGGCGTGGGTTTCCTCCGGGTGATCCGGTTTCCCCCACAGTCCAAACACATGCGCTATAGGGGATTTGAATAAACTAAATTGTCTCTAGTGTACGAGAGTGTCTGTGAATGAGTGTGTTATGCAGCATCCACTACATAAAAAACATATACCGGAATAGTTGGCGGTTCATTCCGCTGTGGCGACCTCTAAAATAGAGATTAGGCCGAAGGAAAATGAATATTGTGGTTTCCTTTTGGTGGATCTCATGTGAGTGACAGGTTGACCATGTGATGTACTCACCAGCTGAGCGATGAGCTGAGCAGCCTCAGCCGAGGTGGAAACCGGCAGAAGAGTCAAACCCAGCTCCAAAACCACAAACTTCTGCAGTGCGCTGAAATACTGCTCGCTCACTCGAGTCTTCTCCACGATCACTACAGCCTGCAGACCACTGTTCGCCTGCAGGAAACAGCACAAGCACTTACTCTGGCTTATCAACATCAACACTGTTTTCCAGCCCCATGTTTATGGAATCGGAGAAAGATGAGAGCAAATCTAAATGAAAAATGATCATTTTGATGACGGTGGCTCAGTGGTTAACACTGTGACAAGGAGGTCGTTTAATTCAAGTCTCAGCTGGGCCAGTAAGCGTTTCTGTGTGGAGTTTGCATGTTCTCCCCGTGTTGGCGTGGGTTCCTCAGGGTTCTCCGGTTTCCCCCACAGTCTAAACACATGCGCTATAGAGGAATTAGATGATCTAAATTGGCCGTAGTGTACGAGTGTGTGTGTAAATGTGAGTGTGTATGGGTGTTTCACAGTACTGGGTTGCAGCTGGAAGGGCATCTGCAGGGTAAAACATATGATGGAATAGTTGGTGGTTCATTCCACTATGGCAACACCTAATAAATAAGGGACTAAACTGAAAGAAAAATTAATGAATGATTTTGATGAAGCAATTTTATTATATTCGGGTTATTCAGTGTGAAATCATCCTGGAGCTTTCTTTGCTACATTTCTTAAATTATTAATAACACACACAAAAAAAACACATTTAATAAAAGCAGGTTAAAGTAGTAAGGACAGATTAGTATTACCCAAGTAATCGACAATTTATGTGTGTGTGTGTGTGTGGTGTGTGTGTGATTTTTTAAAAATCTTTTAATTATACAATTTTCTAGTTTTAACTTTAACATTATTTGTTTTTTTAAAGGTATAGTTCATGCAAAAAAGTAACAAAATGTGTCAGTGTATGTACAATTCATGTGGTGATGCTTATATTTATTTTGAAAGAGCTTGAAAAAAAAATCTAAATTTTTAGCTGGGGACCTCTGGATGCATCAACATAACTAAATTGTTTATTATAATTTAATTGTGAAGCTCTAAAATATCAAATGAGTCTATGTGTACATTTCTAAAGCGGACGATCTTCCTCTTGTAGCCGTTTCCTGCCACCAGGTCACTTTCTGACACATAGAGGACACACGTCTTGTTACTGAGACAGAAGTCGACAACACCGAGCTCCTCCTCGAAGATCATCTTTACACTTCCTGAGAACAAAGACAACATACAGAGACATCAATAAATTCTTTGAGAAGACAAGATGCATCACAAACACTAGACTAACTGTCATTATACTAATTTTTCAAATTTAAAACACACAACTAAAAGCAAGGGATAAATAAAAACTAGTATAAAAATGAACTAGTGTTAAGGTGTAACTAGTGTTAAATGTATGATTAATTACCATGGTACAATTTTTATGTAACACTAAAAACTTTTTTAACCAGAATTAAAGTCTTAAATGTTAAATTAAAATATGAAATCAGCCACAAATATTAAACAACATTCTGTTAAAAGCAATACAAATTCAAATGAAAATGTAAATTAAAACACTTTATATGTCACTCTAATCAAAACAACAACAGTAAAACCTACAATAATTAAAAGTAAATTGTCCAAATACCATTTGGATGTCAGCATCAAATAATAATACTATTATTAATAAAAATATTATATTCTTGCATATAACGTTAACTCTTCAAAATTATGCTTCAAATTGAATTTTGAAAATAAACTCTAAAATATGGGAGAAATAATGTTCCAAAATGAAACAACACATATAAAACAACATGGATATATGATTGTACAAATGTTTGTTATGTTTTAGATTAAGCTCAGTTTCTTACAAAAGATGTATTGATGACAAATGGGCCAACCAGGGGTTTAAATGATAGCAGCGAAGTATAAAGTTTTAAAGTTTACAACTGAAATGGATCATGGACATGTTAATGTATTTTAATAATTCCAGTTAAATATGCACAAACCATATTGGTCACGCTTTACAATAAGGCTCATTAGTTAATGTTAAGTAATGCATTTACTAACATGAACAAACATTGAACAACACATTTACTACACTATATATTCATGTTAATAAACATTAGTTAATGAAAATACAGTTTTCATTGTTAGTTCGTTAACTCATGGTGCATTAACTAATGTTAACAAGCATGGACTTGAATGTTAATAATGCATTAGTAAATGTTTGATTATAATTAAGAAATGCTTTACAAGTGTTGTTCATGATTAGCTCATGTTAGTAAATGCATTAACTAATATACCTTATAATAAAGTGGTACCACCTTATTTATATGAAAACTACTAAAACTGAATGTCATCTTAGTGGGTGTCTTAATTATGCCGAAATGTAAAAGGCTCATCAAACTTTAGCCAAATTAAAAAAGGCTATATTAGAGATTGACCTGTTATTTTGAAAGTCAGTGTTTACACTAATGTCCGTCATTTTCTCGTGGAGCTCTTTTTTTGTGTGTTAAAACTACACAACATCCATGATTATTAATAGTGTACATCTACAATTGTTTTCTTCTAATGGAAAGTTTTGTTCTTCTGTTATGCTTGAAAGAACATACAAAACAAGAAGTGTCAATTGTAAAGTCAACAGTAAAGTCCAAATAGCATCAATAAACAAATAAAAATTATAAACAGCAAACTAATAAATAAATAATTTATACAAAGTACAAACACACTCAAAAAAATAAATAAATAAAAAATCAGAATCAGTTTTATTGCCAAGTGTGCTTCACACACTCAAGGAATTTGTTTAGGCTACAGAAGCTTTCAGTGTACATAAAGTGACAAGTGACAACACAAAATAAATATGAAAAAAAGATAAACATTAAACAGAGATGCAGTTAGTCAGGAAATCTGGAGGTTGAACAAGAGGTAGAACAAGATTGAGGTAAAGTAGGTTTTATATTCACACGTTTTTAAAGAGTGACAACTTTTGGCACAATCCCTACATTTTTTTATTATGCTACTTTGAATATTGGGTCTGAAATCCCATGTAAGAAAGATAGCAAAACAACATTAGCAAGAACTAATTAACTCTGAACATGTCTAATATGGCGGTTCATTCCGCTGTGGCGACTCCAGATTAATAAAGGGACTAAGCCGAAAAGAGTAGGCTGTTTCTACTATGATTTCCCTGTTTAGAATTAGCAAAGAATACTTTAATCATATTATATAGGTTTAAGTCCCAATGTGTGAACAACTTTACCTCAGTAAGTTAACGTTACACATTATAGATATATAACGTTACAGTATATGTAAAAATCTATTAGTATAACGTTACATTAGCTTTAGCAACACAATTGCGCCTGTCACTGTAAATAAAGAGTGTTTCAGAGGTGTGAATCTTCTGACTTGTTCAGGAAAGCACACATTTATGTGAATGACCAACCTTTAAAGTTTTGCACGAGTGTTGATCCTCTCCATTTCTCATGACCGATGATGTGTCCGTACGGAGGAGCGGCGTTCAGGAGCTTCGCGGGAACCGGTTTACTTTCCATAACGGAAAAAAACTGACTTTCAGTTCAGTAATATATCGACTACATTCATATGATGTAAATTAAACACCTCCCCGGTAAAATAAAATCGCCTTTCAGTTCGCTCACAGTGTATTTAAACCGCACGGGCTCTCGACACACGACGACAGGTTGACGTTTCTGAATCTCACAGCAGCACTGGTCAAAACAATCAAATCACGCGCGTTTTTACCACAGCAAATAACGCGAGGTTTTGTTCTCATCCCGCTTTCGCTGATTGGCTGAGGCGAGTCTATTTAAACAGTTGAAACCCTGCAGGAGCGTTTAAATGTACATTAAGAGAATGCGTTGACGGATTGTTTTCATCTGCGCCTTTAGCGTCTTAGCAGATTGCGTGGAGTTTATTAAGGTAAGTGAAGATATTGATGTTGTTATTCATATTGGCCTGCTTTAATTGTAAATTTGATATTATACTTATACTACTATTTGTATAACATGCATTTTTCGTGGATCGTAACATGCAAAGAGATCGTAAAAATCAGTTTTACTATTATGAAATCAAAGGTAGAGGATGTTTGGGTGACATTATTTGTCTGATTCACTGTCTGTGATTCTGTTCAGCTGTGAGGATCCAAGCCCGGGCATGTTTCAGATCAGACCGTGCACATAATGCAGAGTACTGTCCCTTTAAGAGCATAATAATCGAGCATATTAATGCAGTTTAGTATCTTTAATTTGATTTAATAATATATTTTAATGTAAGCATGCAAAAAAAAAAACATTTTAAGAGAGACAAGTGGAAACATTAAATTTATGGCTTGTATATGAAGTAAAAAGATCAAATTAGACCATTGGGGCAAGATGGGCCCTCAGATTTGCCACATGAGTAGCCTAGTGACATGTTTACTGGTGCCATTGTTTAATACGATGCTTCTAAAGCAATTCCACGAATAGACGTACATTTAAGACATTGTTTTATTTTGCAATCTGACATTCTTTAAATGTGCATTGATAGTGTTATCTGCAGCTTTTATTGCATGCCTTCTCCATGTATGGAATATTAAATATGTAAATATTCAAATGCATGCATGATTTCTGTCTTTTTCTGCGATTTTGCTTCGTGTCATACAGCTGAATTGTCAATATATATATATATTTTATTTAGAGTAGCTGGCTTGGTTTTTTCTGTTTACACTATTTACACTAATAAGACTGTGAAATGTATAAAAATTGTTGTGCTGTAAAATTGATACAGAGGTTTAATTGCATAATTGTGCTATTTAAATATAGTGCAACTCGACTAAATCAAGTTAATCTTTTTATTTATTTCCTGCGATAACACGTAACAGCTGATCATCATAGTCATCCTGTAATTTATGTACATTTACTTTAGTTTAGTTTACAATAACCTTTTTTTGTTTTGAAAACAATAGGATAACTAAATAATAAACTTTAAACTAAATTTAATATTGATGTTTGAAGTCACCTCGTATGTATTCCATTGCAATGCATTGTCGTTTTTTTTTTTTTGCATGTTAGCACCACTATACTATCGTTATTGCAGTCTTTGATTATGGATTTGATGAAAAATGTACTGCAAATTTGAGAACTGAGAATTGTTTAACCCCTTAACTGTTTTCAACATCAATATTTGAGTTTAGACTTTAAAGTTTTACACTATGTGCATATGATATACATGAATGGTCAATAGAAGTTCTGGTTTAGACAAAATAAGTTGTAATGATCAAAGAAGGAGAGCACGCAGTAGGTAGTGCTGTCGCCTCACAGCAAGAAGGTCGCTGATTCGAGCCTCGGCTCAGTTGGCTTTTTTTGTGTGGAGTTTGCATGCTTTTCCTGCGTTCGCGTGGGTTTCCTCCGGGTGCTCCGGTTTCCCCCACAGTCCAAAGACATGCGGTACAGGTGAATTGGGTAGGCTAAATTGACCATAGTGTATGAGTGTGTGTGTGTGTGTGTGGATGTTTCCCAAAGATGGGTTGTGGCTGGAAGGGCATCCGCTGCGTAAAAACTTGCTGGATAAGTTGGCGGTTCCTTCCGCTGTGGCGACCCTAGATTAATAAAGGGACTAAGCCGACAAGAAAATGAATTGAATATTTAATATCTCTTTATTTTGTTTCTTTTTTTTTGCCATGATGTCAGTATATTATACTGTTTACTAGTACATAATGCATATTAGTTGTTTTGCAAGATGCTTATATTAAAGGCTTAACTAGGTTAATTGGATTAATTAGATAACTGTGGTTTGTTCTGCAGTTAGCAATTTGGAAAAATAGAGTCCTTAAAGAGGCTAACACTATTAACCATAGCTATTTATTTTTATTTTTCCATTTATATATAATTAACTTTATTTTTATTGATATAATAATAATAATAATTTTTATTTATAGAGTGCCTTTCCAGAGCTCAAGGACACTTTACAAGGAATGCAACAAAAAGATAAACAAACATACATGTAGTCAAATATAACAAACTGGAATTACACAAACAAGACCTAGGAGACAAATGAGCAGAGTGGATGTGGGTCAGATTAAGTGGTCAGTTTGGCAGATCAGAAGCGAAACATTCAGAAAAATAAGTGTGTTAAGTAAGGATTTAAATTCAGAGATATTACTAGCAGAGCGGAGTGAGCGTGGTAGAGAGTTCCAGAGTTTGGGTGCAATAACACACACTAAATAATCTGCCCCCAATTGAAGAGAGGCGTTACCGAGGGACAGCGAGAAGGCCAGAGTCAGCAGAACGTAAAGAGTGAGTTGGGGTGTAGGGGACAAGCATGTTGCAGAGATAGGAGAGTGCTAGGCTATTTAAGGATCTAAATGCAAGGAGGAGAATTTTGAATTTAATGCGATATGCAACCGGGAGCCAATGGAGATCTTACAAGATTGGGGTTATGTGAGCAGAACGTTTGGTATGAGTGAGTATTGTAGCCGCAGAGTTTTAAACATACTGTAATGAAAAGAGCATTATAGTAGTCGATGCGTGAGGAGACAAATGCATGCATGACAGTCTCAGCATATAAACAAACTTGCCATATATATAAGTATATTTAATAAAACATGTGTATTTTATTTCAGTCAAACTGAAAGTAATAAGACTTTCTCCAGAAAAAAGTATTGGGATAGTTGATGGTTCATTCCGCTGTGGCGACCCCAGATTAATAAAGGGACTAAGCGGAAGGAGAATGAATAAATGAATTATTTAATTTATTAATGAATAAATGAATAAAATGCCACGGTGCTAATCTTCAACCGTATTTAATGCAAATAATAGTTTTTCCCCTGCGCTTGTGTTCAGGCTGATTTCAAAGGATGGCGCTGTGGTTTGTGCTGCTGTGGGTCTCCAGTTTACAGTATGCCGAGGTTGAGGCTTTCTTCGACTGGTTGAAAAAGGCAGACCCGGCTCCTACACCACCTCCTGCAGAATCCATTGTCCCGATTCTCCTCCATGGAGAGGCGCCAGCCTTCGAGATGAGCGTTGTGGACGAGAAGTTTCTGGCTGAAGCAAAGCAGATGGAGCTCAGTCCACTTGACAGCTGCCATTTCCGGGTACGCAAACATGTCCGTCTGCATTAGACTAGGGCTGCATGACATTGGAAGAAAACAGATATTGCAATGTTTAGTTTTTCCGCAATGATATTTAAAATTACACAATGTGTAAGAAATTTACCGGTTCACATTGACTGAGATGATTTTTTTACTTTAGTACATCTGCATATATGAATATTTGATTTTTGTATTCAATAGCAAATGTGAAACACTCTATGCTTCTTTTTAATAGGTTGTCGCTCAGCTCAAAGCTACTTGCAGCGGCCTATCAGAGGAGCAGTTGGCCAAACTGGGCGTGGCTTTATTCAACTGCCAATCAGAGGTGGAGGGCCGCAGGACTTACCCCTGCACTGAAGAAATGGTACGATCTGTGATGATAATTGTCATTTTGCAAGCATTTCCGGTTTTATTTCTCACTCAATTCTGGTTAAATTACTAATATTATTTAATCTGTAGTCTATAAAGGAGTGCACCGCGGACATGGACTCGGACACATGGAATGCATATCACATTGTCAGTAACAGAGCACGCTCGGTGTGTTACGCCACACGCCAGCAGCACTTCCGCAAGCGGGCGGAGCTGACAGTCAACGCCCTCATCTCCACTGCAACAAGCCAGCTGGATGCCATGAAGGATCTGAAGGTGCGTTTTGAATAACTTTAGTACCTGTGAATGATTATATTCAGTTTTTCTAATAAGAAGTCACACAGAACTTAGTATTTTCCTCTACTTACGTTCAATTTTTACAAATGCATCTGGTAACATTTTACAATAAGGTTGTTAATGCATTTACTAACATGAGCAAATACTGTAATGTATTGTTCACTGTTTGCTTATGTTTGGTAATGTTAGTTAATGATAAAGTCATTCATTGTTCGTTCACGTTAACTCACGGTGCATTAATGTCAACAAGCATGACTTTGGATTTTAATAATGCATCAGTAAATGTTGAACTAAATGCTGTACAGTTAGTGTTCAGAATTAGTTAATGTTATTAAATAGGTTCACTAATAAAACCTTATTGTAAAGTGTGATCGTATATCTTTGGCGAGAATTTGAAGTTATTTATCGTATACATTTAAAAATCATATCTAATATTTTAATGGCTATTTATCATAATTCATTAATTCATATATATATATATATATATATATGCACATTTTTTATTTACTTAATTTATTCATTCATTTAGGTGTTTGATTTGTGTTTTCATAATCTCATTTAATTAAGAAGTTTTGAAGTTGAAGTATGAAGTTATTGTTAATGTAATATTTTATTTATGAATCTAATATTTTTATGGATATTTTTATTTATTTTAATTTATTTAGGTGTTTATTTATTTGTTTGTATTTTCTCATTCAATTATACAGTTATGTAATTTTAATTGATACTTTATCTATTATTAATTATTCAATAAATCTAATATTTTTGATGGATATTTATTTATGCATGCATTCATCTAATATTCTTAAGAAATATTTGTTTTTATTTATTTCATTAATTCATTCATTTGTGTATTTATTTATGTATTTTGTATAGTCTCATATTCAATTATCAAGTTATGTAATTTTTAATGGATATGTATGTAGTAATTGTTCTAATACTTTTAATGGATA